ATCTTAACACATATAAAAGGTACATTTGCTTTATTTTATTTTATCAACTCATATAATTCTGCTTTAGTAGAATTTTCTGGAACATCAATACCAGTTGAAGTTAACTAAGCAATTAATGCATCTTTTTTCAAGTTTGATGTTAGTACTTATTCAACTTGACATTTATGATAATGAGTACCATCTATATGAATATTTACTGACCCATAGCATTCCTTAATATTAGCACAAGGTTTATCAAAAAGATCTTTAAAGATATCAGCTGTAAAATTCTCATGATAATCAATATGGTCTGCTGCAATGTTAGAATTTTGAATAATTTCAGGAATATTATCTCAGGCATCAGCATTTGCTCGTTTTCTTCCTTTTGATGAAGGTAGTTTTATTGATGAATCTCACATAAGAAGTAAATTAGAAATAACTTCACCATAAAGCTTATTAGTATTACCATTGTGCATTACAATTATCACTCCAAAAATAATAATTAAGGGATCACGCCTTGGTGAATATACTATTCTATAACTTAGTACCTAAATACAGTTTGTAGTATAGTGCAAATGACAATACGATTTATTTAAAAAAACCTTTAGCTAGTCAGAATTTTATTTTTTCCTTATAAGTTTTCAAACTGATATCGTAAATAATGATTACAAAAGACAACATTTGCTGGTGATTTATGCAATATATTTTAACGTTCACTATGACCATAATAATATTCCAATTTATGAAGTAGACAAAGTAACTGCCATTTTGATAATTTATGACTATTTTCTTTAAGCTTTTATCATAATATTTATATTGAAAGTAGAGTGTCAAAAGTATTTGCAGACATAATAAAGCTTCATAAAATTTTGGGAATATTATGATCAAATGTATTTTTAGGCTGACTAAGAATTTTTTGTGTTTGAAATTCTCCATTTTTTTTATTTTGTTTAGTAACTATATGTATAACTGTAGCCTCCCTAATACCAAGAACTATAGCAACCTTCTTGCGTAATGGTAAGTCATGATGTTGCTTCTAGTATTGTCGAACCTTTAAAAAGTGTTAATAGACGTTAAAAATCATTTTTTGTTCATTATTAGTCAATGGACTTTTGTCTCTAGTTAAGTCATTCATGAGAAAAAAAGGTTTGAAGTTAGTAAATTATTTAAATTTTGAACACAATCTAACCTTTTGCATCATTTATACACTCAAATGACATAATTGTTAGATTTTCTATCATTTGAGAAAATTAAGTAATGATTTTGTATATTTACATTTTTGCACCAGACCATATCTATATTATAATTTTAAAAAAAATAATTTAACTAAAATAAGAAATTATATTTGAATGATTTTATAATATTAAATTTTTTTAAAAAAAAATTAAAAATAATATTAGGTAAAATTTTATTAAAGATTTTAATATTAATTTTGTTTTTTAAAAATTATTTGTAAATCAGTTAGTTAATTAAAAATTTTCAGTATAATAGTTAATTAAATTTTCATGTTAATTTAATTCTCTATAAATCTATTAATTTATTAATATGTTAATTTTATTTCTTAATGATAATTCAATAGAATATATTTAGCTTAATTTATTTATTAATTATTTAATATATAAATATTTTAATAATTTTATTAAGTTTATTTATCTTATTAATAAAGATCAAATTAAGAAAATAAGTTTTTATATTAATTTAAATTAAAGATAATACAGTAATTAGTTGTAACTAATAATAAATAAGCATTATATAATTATAACTAATTGTAATATTATTAAAATTAAATTACAATTTTTATAATTAGTGATAAATAAGTATTATAAAATTTTGATTATTGTTATGCTATTTTTAGTTTAAACTGATTTATTTTTTAAAAAAAATATTATAAGTATTATTAATTTTTCTGTTAATATTTATTTTGTATAATCATTTCTTAAATGTAAAATTCTGATAATAATACTATTTGATAATTTTATATAACTATTTAATTAAATTATAATAATAATTATTTAAAAATAACAAATCTTATTATAAATTTATAATATAATATAATATAATCTATTAAACATAATTAATTAATATATTACAGTATAAATAATCTATATTAATAAATTAATTAATTAATAAAACTTATCTATAACTTTTACGCTTATTCTTTTATAAATATTTTGAAGTTTATTATATATTTGATATAGTTGATAAATTTAATCATTTCATTTTTTTCCATTTAATAGTAATTTCACTTGAATAATAACTAATTATAAAAGTATGTATACTTGAATTTAAAACAATCACTCTTGATCCTTTCTTTTTTTAAAAAAAATTAATTAGTATAAGTAATATAAAGAAATAAAAATTATAAATAATATAAAACCTTTGCATTCTAAATGGTTTATATATATAAAGATAAAATTTATTAAGATGATTTAATATAAGATTACTATCATATTCAAGTTATTATAGTAAAGGTTCTGCTAATTTTATTTATAAAAATAATGCTATTTGATCCAATGTTTAGATAAATTATTACTGATTTAAACCTACTCAAGTTTTTAAAGTTTATGGCGTTGAGACACCATGTTTATAAATCCGCCTTTTTCGTTTTAATACTTTTTTCACAATAGGGCATTGATTATATACTTATCGTGATATTCCCATTCATAGAGAGAGAGAGATTATCTGAGTTTCAGCCGGTTTTACTGGGCGGGATAAAGGTAAATGCACCTACTGGAAGTTTCTTTACTTTTTTTTTTTTTGGAAGTTTTGAACCTCTTGGGTAGCATCTCTTTTCCTTCTGCGATTGCCAGCAGAATGTAGTCCATTATGTCATGTCATAAACATTGTGATGATTGTAATCAAACATTCTGCAAGTTTTAGCCTCGCTATCAATGGTATAAACATCTGAATTGAGTACCACGAGCTTTGTCCTATCTTTTCAAAGATCCACTTCACGAGTTCAGATCCAAAGCAATACAAGTAACTACTGTTTCTTTGATTTTCTTTAGAGTATATTCATTCCAAAAGGATAACAAATTTCTTGAGCGTCACTGATTATTTCATGTCCTGGATACTTTTAAGCTTTGCTTTTTAACACTTTTACTTTCAGATAATTTTTTAAGGCATTTCTTCTCATTAGATGTCTTTCGTTGCTTAATATTTTATTAAAAAAAAGGTAGAAAAAAAAAGAAATTCGATCATGAAAATTTCAGTGATATGAGACTTTAAAATCTATATTTATACTATATATACGATGCTTTCGTCCAGACTTTTAATCGTAATACTGTAACTCTATTGTTCACAATAATGAAATTATTATAACATTTAAACTAAAATCATCAAAAATTACCTTAATCCATTTTTGAAGATCACACGATGTGACCCATCTTATTTATATAAATAGTAATAGAGGCAGTAAATCAGTTTTGTTATACGGTTATGCAATTCGCTTAACTTCAGTATTAAGAAAACTTTCCGGTAATAATTATTTTAAATGGAAAAAAAAAAAAAAAAGGATAAAAATAAAAGGATTTAAATTTATGTCCATTTTGAAATTCTAAATCATATGAAAAGTTACAAATATTAAGAAATGAATTTCTTCAAGCTAATTTAAAAAATATTAAATATTATAACGAGAAATATCTTGAAATTTTAAAGGAACATTAGAAACATTTATGAATAAATTTTCTTATATGCCTTTTATTTAGTAGTAAAAAAAAAAAACGTTAATAATATTTATATATACAAAAATAAAAAAAATTAAAATAATAATATATTAAGGTTCCCAAATTTGAACCTCTCTCCGTGAATCTTCGTCAATAACTCCAGCCAACTAGATGTATTAACAAAATATGAGTACACTGTAAAGAAAGCAATTGTAAATAAAATAAAATTAATTTTTTTTTTTTTTGATGACTAACCTTGAGAAATTCTCTATCGGTTTCTTTATTGCTATTTCTCTTAACTTGAAGTCCATTTCTCTTGGCTACTTCAGCTTCTTCCCATTCCCATTCTTTTTCTTGTTTTTCTTTTGCCAACTCACCACCTAATCCAAATACCTCAATTTCTAGAACTTCAAACGGTATATCAAAGTAATTCCTGGTGACTGATAGAGAATAAGTTGGTTTGTCTGCACGAAGTACATCATTTCGATAACGACCATATTGGAGCGTATTATCAATTTGAAGTGTAAATGTATTTTGTTCTGAAACTGTTATTGTATTGGATGTTGTACCAGACGTGGCTATACCACCAAAACCGATACCGAATGACGGATTATAATAAACATAGTTTGAACTCATTTTTGATGCTGGAAATTTTTCGAAAACCGGCCAAACTTCAAAGAGTGCACATTCCTCCGATCCAAAACAAGTTTTCGGATTAGAAGTTGATTTCCACGGTTCAGAAACATAAGCGCCCAACAATAAAGTGGAAACATGATCTTCAAGTTTATTAGGTTTTGAAGTGGGTAAAGATCCTTTAGTGTTCGGTGAAATCGAGATTAATTCACGATTTTGATTTTTTGATATATCCGCGTGTATTAACATGAGAGTAGGGCCTGGGTATTTAAATACGTGACTGGAAAACCGGTTCGTACTGAAACCGTGTCTACTACTACTATATAGACAATTCCAATGATGTCTTTTTATAACTTTCTCGGGCAACATCCAAGATAACAATCCCATATTCATTTGATTTAATAAATCTGAATGAGTATCTAATTTTGGCCAATATTGAACTTTTGGTCCTTGGAATAATGAGTCTTGTCTTTGTTGAGATAATGTTAATCCTATTAAGAATTGTCCATACATAAAAGGTATAAAACCTCTAAATATGCTCGGAGCATTTCTATCAACGAATTTCTGGAATGTCGGCCAAGTGATCACTTCATCTGAATCCATGGCGTTCGTACCAACGCTATTGTTATGTTGTGACATATACATACGTTCGACGACATGGATGACATCTTCACGGATTTGATTAATGAATTTTGGAGAAACGATTTTTTTTAAATTTGCTAACAAATCTTGAGAATTTGTTGAAATTGAAGACATTTCACTAGACATAAGCCATATTAGTCCTGTCAATATTTTCACCATATCTTGACATCGTACTTTTGAGGTTTTAGAAGGATCGATTTCATGATGAAGTCCAATAGCTTTTAAAAATTCGTCATTATTATCATCTACATTTGCATTTGCATTTGGTATTACTATTTTAGGACTTGAGCCATCCGATTCTGCAGGTGAATTTTGTTCATCAATGGAGATGGAAAATGAATCAAAAAGGAGTTTTACGCGATCCTCGTCAATTACATCTTTAGTTTTGTCACAATAGACAGCTACAGCTTTTATGAGCCCATCATAAGTAAGAAGAGTATTTGTGTGACCGTTGGAATGAATATTTGCTAGATAAATAAAGGAGCGATATATAAGTGGCCCGGCACCAACATCATCAGGAAAACCTAGGTAACCCTATTCGTAAGATTAAAATTAGTATATTAGACATGGGATGCAAGTTAACCAACTCGGATTGAAAACTTACAACAAAAGCTCCTTCGTTGATATAAGGGATACCCATTTCATTTGTAGTACTAAGATTTTCAAATGAGGCTCTCAGAGAATAACTTTCGATCTGAGTGAAATTTTTTCTTAAGAGCTCATTTGAAATTCTTGTAATCCTATCAGAATTAGGTGAAAGATAAGCGGTGTTTTGATGATTATTGGATGCATTGGAGACATTGGAGATATTTGATATACTTGATGTAACTGATGTACTTGTGATTGTGGGTTTCAAAAATTTTTTTTTTTTACCTCCGCTACTATTTTTATTTCCCATAATTTTTTTATTCAATCGTTTTAGAATTTAAAGGGAAAAAAAAAAAAAGGATTTCCGAGAATTTGGTATATAATAAAATTTCGAAGTGATATTTATATTGATTGGGCGTAGGATTTTATTGATTGATATACTTAGCCATATTATTATATGCTTAGGTACAATATATTGAAAACGTTATACAATAAACCATATCCTCTAGTATTCTCAATAATAAAAAAGATGCATTGATGTTGGGGACTCCAATTGGGAAAGATTGGCTACACCAAAAGTATAAATATTTATGATTTTCAACTTACTGATGAAATTTAGGAAATTTGGAAAAATCTTTAGAGAAAATTTGAATTTTAGTGCATAATGTAATTGTCGGATTTCTTTGATGATTCGATAGCTTTGCGTGAGATTTTTTTTTTCGAGAAAAAAAAGGTTATAATAGGTAAAGAAATGGAATGGTTAGGTATTACGAATTACGAATGTGTTGATTAAAGAACAAATGAAATTTTTTTTTTGTTTAGGAAGAAAATTTTACAATAATTCTTTATTTTAAAAAATCACGTAGAATACAGAGTATATTATATATATTAAGTGATACGATAAGTAAAAAAAAAATTTTTTTTTTCACTCCACCTGAACATATATATGTCCTTCACTTTGTTCCAGACTAATTACGCCAAAAATTAATCAAAAAAGTATTTAAAGAGAAAAAAAAAAAAAAAGTACAACGTCGCGGGGAATATCGTATTGTACGTGTTTTCTTATTGTTTTTGTCGCACTACAAACCCTAATGGTATGATTAAAGGAAAGTTCTTAGCAGAATTACGGTAAAATTTTTTCACATGGTATTTAGAATAACTGCGGCTGCGCCATGATTTCATAATAAATGTATGTAATCCAATTAAGTTTAGAGCTTCCTTTTTTTTTCCCCCGATGCTTTCGATATTTGGGTGTCCAGTAAAAATTTATAACAATAAAGAAACAGCTTTATTAAATGTAAGAAATAATGAAACCAATGAGATAGAAAAAATTAAATTATACGATTATGTTCAGAAAAATTGCCCTTCATTAATTGGAGAAAAAGCTTATTATTATCCTACTCCTTGGATTGGAAATGGTCATGCTCAAACTGCTTATGCTGCTTATCAAAACTTTGAAGGAATCCACTTAATTGATTATGAGAGGTGAGAATTATCAACTACTTTTTTTTTAAAATTTTTAATTGGATTATTTTAAATTTATTGATAAAATCAGGAAATTTGTTTCTACCTCTGATGGAGGACAAATTGCTGTCGATTGGACTCCTCCAGTTAGTAACAAACCATTTGATAATACTCCGACGATTATCGTCTTACACGGATTAACCGGAGGTATCAATTTTTTTTTTTTTTAAAAAAAAAAAAAAAAAGTGTTACTAATTATCTTTTTTTTTTTTTAATTTTATTAGGAAGTCATGAATCGTATATTAGATGTTTATTAGAAATTCTAGTTAATCCGCCGTATAATTATAGAGCTGTCGTAATCAATTTTCGTGGGTGTGCAGAGTCTGATATTACATCACCAAGACTTTATTCGGCCGGCGTAACTGATGATATTAGACCCGTTATCAGTTATATTAAAAAATGTATTCCTAATGCTCCTTTATTAGGTATTGGATTTAGTATGGGTGCAAATATGTTAATTAAGGTATATTTACACAGTAGTTTTGCTCTTAAATCTATTTGAGATTACAATGATTTTTTCTTTATATAGTATCTAGGAGAAGAAGGTGAAAGAACTCCTTTGTTTGCCGCGGCTTCAGTTGCGAATCCTTTTGATTTAATTGGGTTTATATTATTTCATTAATTCAGTGGATTTCTTTTCTTTTTTTGTTTCTAAAAAAATAATATATCTATATAAATTTTTATAAATTTTAGTGGAACCAGATCGTTGGAAAGGACTTACATTGGAAAGTACGTTTATTCACCAACTATGGCGAATAATCTTAAAAAGGCACTTGCAAGACATGAACATATCATGAAAGAAGACAAAAGATTGGATTTGGAATACGCAAAATCGGTCAGTTTATAAATTAACTTTTTCAAAAAAAAAAAAGAAATATATGTGTGTGTATAACTTGCTTATTCAAACCTTTTCTTTAAAAAAAAATCAAGGCATTTACGTTAAGAGAGTTTGATGCAAGATTAACCGCAATAAGTTTTGGATATGAAACAGTAGATCATTATTATAGAGACGCCAGTTCGTCACAATATATAACAAAGGTCAAAATACCATTGTTATGTTTAAACGCTGAAGATGATCCAGTTGCTTCACACGAATGTATCCCTTTTGATGAATGTATTTATAATCCAAATATTATTTTAGCAACTACTTATTATGGTGGTCATCTTGGTTGGTTTACCGGTTGGTGGCAACCAACTAGATGGTGTATTAAACCATTATCTGAATGGTGTATTGCCCTTTTAAAAGTAAGTAATATTTATTTTTTAAAAAAATTTTTGTATAAAGCATTACTCTGATAATAATATTTTTTTGTATAGACCTGTAAAAATCCTAATAATAAGTCATTTTTAAATGATGATGAAAATAATTTAAGCGAGGAAGAAACTGTATTTGATGAAAATTAAAAGATAATCAGTTCGGTTTTTAACTTATTTATTAGAAAATAAAATCTATTTATTTATTTATATTTATATTTATACTTATATTTATACTAATTATTTATTTATACAATAAACTATTATTTATTATTTTGAAATCTATAAATTGATGTACACGGGGTGTCTGAAATTAATTACTAAAAACATAGTAGGGTGTGATGCTGTATGATAAATAGCAACCTAATATGTATACTAACACTAAACTAATCTTAAACTAAACGCAACTCCGCATAATGTTTATATATATCATATGATCCGTGTTCATACATCCCGAAATTAATATTTAATATTTATATAATTTATTAATATAATAATAAATAAAAGTAATAATATAAAACAGATTTATAAATTTTAATATATTAAGATTAAGCAATATCTAATCATATACAAGATGTTTTAAAAATATAAAATATAACAAATATATTATAAAAACATATAAATTTTTAGATTAATAATTAAAACAAATATAATATGAATTAATATAATGTGAGATCTTTATAATAAAATAAGAAATTATGAAAAAAAATCAATTTTACCTTTTTTTATATGCTAAATATGATTTTTTAGGTAATTTAAATTTATTTAATTATATAATTAAATTAATATTAATAATTTTAAATATTTATTTTATAATGTTAAATAAGTTAATTTTGAAAAAGAAAATCATTTTTTAGATGATTTATATATCTTCTTAATATAGCTTTAAAAGAAGCATTAAAATTTTTAAATTTAAAAATATAATCAGATTTAATTTTACTTTTATTTATAAAAAAATGTAATTTTATTAAAATTTTTTTAATTTTAATAAAAAGCTTAGAAAAATTATTCTAAAATTTGTTTTTTTTAACAATATGAAAAATTAAGTAATATATAGAGAAATAATCAAATTAATCAAATTGATAATTGAAAACTAATTTTAATATATTTAATATATAATATGATTAAAGAACTTAATTTTAAAAATTTTAATATTATTTTTTTATAATAATTTTTATAATATATTTTATATTATAAGTTTTAGAACTAATTATATTATTTAAATTATAAATTTAAAAAATATATTTATAAATAAAAATTGAAATAATTAGTTTAGAACAAAGTGAATAACTATATATACAAATTTAAAGTTACACATATATTTATCTGTCTGCCTACTCAATAATTGAAATCAATATTAATTGATATTTGCAATTATATAAAAGTCTAAATAAAAGCAAATATTAGTAGATTATTTTAGATTTAATAATGATTCCTGTTTTTTAGTTTAAATTATTTAAAAATTAATAATTATAATGTCTGAATTTATTTATTCTATAACTTCTACTATTATTTTTTATATAATTTTATTATTGATATAGAAAATACTATTAATAATATAATATATTATCTTTAATAAAATTAACTACAAAAAATATAAAGAAAATTATTAAAATATTATAATAAAACAAATAATATATATTTATTTGTAACTATTTTGAATCTAAAATTAAAATTATATTAATTTAAAAATAAAGAATATGTAATAAATTAATAAATAAAATTTAAAAAAAAGTTAATTTATTTTATTTATTTATTTTTTTTAAAAATTTATAATTCTATTAATTATATCTATTTTTTTTTAGTTTTTTAATTATAATTTATATTATAAATTAAATAATAAAATAAATTCTAATATATTATATAAAAATACATTTATTATTTTAAGTATATTTAAATATCATAATATAGAAATATAAATAAAGCTTAAATATTTCTTTTAATTTTAATATTTAAATCTAATAAAAATAGTAAGAATTATTATTAATATTTATAATCAGTTTTTCATCTGAATAAAGATTTCAATATATAAAAATTTAATTATAGATAAAAAAAATCATTTAGTAAAAAAAAAAATAGTAAGATTTTATATATATTTAAAATCATAATAGACTTGACTTTTTTTTAAAACTAAAAATATATATATATATATATTTTTTTAAAGCTAAAAATTATTTTTTTTTTTTATTAAAAAGAAAATTTTTTCAATTTTTTTTTAAAATTTGTTAAAATTGAAAAAGTATTTTAATAAAAAAAAATATTTGTAGATTTTTTTTAAAATTAAAAATTATTACTTTAATAAAAAAAATGTATTAAATTTAAATTTAAACTAATTTGTGATTTAGATTTAAAATTTAATCCAGTATTAAATTTAAATTTAAATTTAAACTGATATATTAAATTTAGATCAAATTCAGATCTATATAAATAAAATTAGATAATTTGAATAAAATTTAATTTAATCTAATTTTGTAAAATATTAATTAAAGATATAATCTACTTATAAAAAATACATATATTATAAAAAATGAA